ACATTAGTAAAGCCTTAGTCTTGTCTGTGTTGCTGATATCACTCTTGGAACTCCATCAGATAGAATGCAAATCTTACAATTTTCTCTTTATAGGAACCTGCTCAAGGAGGGAGACTTGGCTTTCTGTTTGAGATGGGAGAAAAAGAAAGATGGGATATTTGTGTAAGAGAAGAATAGTTGCTAGGACATGTGGTCATAAGGTGGTTTTGGAGGGTTACACTAAGTAAGAATACTTGCCTGCCTGTATTTCTTCAGTACCATTGGCCTGTCAAGTAAATTAATAATCACTGTGTGGAATATAATTACACTGAGGGGTTTTTAATGCTTTTATTGTTCAATATAAATTTTAACCATCACAGGATTTGAATTATAAGGTGACTGAGTGTTTTGTGGACATGGAAAATTTCTGCCTCCTGGAATCACCATATGGAGGTGTTTCTGCAGTGTTTGAGACTTTTTTTCTTCTCCAGAATCATCTTCCATCTGACAGACTAATAAATTTTACCTATGTTCTGTGTGTTGATCTCGGAGTTCTGTTTAGATTGGTCAAAAGTGTATCTTTAGGATCAGGTCTGAACAGTTTTAATTTTATACATTCATTGACTTCTGTAGGACTGATTATATTGTTACTGTTGTGCTTAGATGTTTTTTTGGTTTAGACTCAGCTAAATCATTACTAGAAAAACTGGCTAGGAAAATCTGTATGTATTACAAGTTAGGAGAGCAGATCTGGGTTTTGCCGACAGGCAGGCTGTTTCCTTTTTGATCTAGTTTCTAAACAAAATTTTGGAACTCTTTGAGCAAGCAAAAACTCAACACCAGTATCATGGCTCAGCATATTTTTATGAAAAATATTATAACATCAAGATGAGGTTCAAGTGTAAATTTCCCAGCTAAGCCTTGTATTTCAAATTCAACACGTAATGCATGCAAAACGTGAATATAAAAATGATTGAACTGAATCAGATAAAAGGCCAGTTTGTTCTAGCAGCATGCCTCTGATAGTAATCAGTGATAAATGCTTAGAGAAAAGTGCAAAAACAAGGCAAACATGATGTTAATACCATTTGACTACTTTACTGCACACTGCTGTAACCTGACAGCTTGAACTTTTTTTTTCCCTTTGATCATGGCTTAAATTCATACAAGATACCTTCTTACTTCTAATAGCTTCCCCTCCAAACTCTGACTGATTTTCTAAAATTCTTTCCTTCTGAACTTTCAATATATTGTCTTTTAATCGTTGTCTTACAGTCAGTAAAGACTTTACTCTTTCTGTTAAAAAGAAACTAAGCTGCAACCAACTTCTTCATATTTTTGTAGTTCCTCTTTTAACTTTAACCTTAGTAATGGTGTACTTCTCACTTTTATTGTTTCTGCAGAGATAGTGAATTGAAAATTCCTGTGATTCATAAGCAGTCATGGATAGTGTCTTCTATTTGGTCTTCACATACCACCCCCAATTTAGAGTTTTCCAGTCTAAACTGGTTAAACAAAGAATTCCTATAATCTCATTTCTAGAGGAGTTGCCATTTTTAATCATGTGCAGTTCTGCATTTAGCAGCTTTCCTTGCTTCTTCAGTCTAACTCTTACAAAACCATTCTCATTTTAAGTGCCAGCAGTGTGCTTCCATTTTCACTGAGATGAAGTCTGTCTTGTTTATAGAGGAATGCTCTGTTCTAGAAGTTTCCTCCTTTTTTTCTTACAATATTTTCTCAGCCATACATTGGGTTATTAGTCTTAAAAAGGTACCTAAACTGCATAAGCTTCACATCTACATTTTATTTGGCATAATAGATGAACTCATAAATTTTTTGCCTATTGTCAAAACATTTCTGGGGTAGAAGTCATTTTTCAGTTTGGATAAAGAATAACATTACTTGTTTTTAAAAAGCTGCAAGTATGTTTGATAGATGAATGTTGTGGAAAACTATATACACTTGAATCTTTCTCTTTAGAAAGATCTGAACCCCTGGGGCTATTGTAATACTGTTTTGCAATGAATGAATGAAAAATTGCTTGGAAGAGAAGTCATATTATCTTCCAACTCTTTATTTACCTTTTTATTTTATTATTGACAGATAATGGGTATCATTTCCTATTTTAATAGGACTTCTGGATTTCATAATGGAGAAGTGGAATCCTTGCTCTGCAGTGTCTTAAGGCATTGTTTTCAGGGAAGTGTTTTCAACAGTAATATATATTAATTTCACAATACTTGTGTATTTTTTCCTAATGTGAAATTGTATGGGTTTTGTATGAGGGTACCCTAAGGGACTTCAACCAGACTGTGCTAATGTTATTTTTGTTAGGCCAGGCTAGAAACTACAGCTGACTTTATATTGCCTGTTGAGTTCTACAGTCCTGGTCTACTCATTGTCCAGAGCAGAGAGTTGGTGCACACTATAGTTGCTGTCTGGCCCACTTCTGGGTTTTATTTCTGCATAAGAAACAGCAAAGTTGTTTTTTAACCTGTGTCTTTCCAAGATGTATGGTTGCGGTATGGCTGGATGTGCATACAGCAGCTGAATTTTTATGGTGGTCTTGAATCTTCCAGTTCATATATAATCTACAGTACTGCTCTTTGGATCAGTGGCAGTAGGGTGGGATTCTGTCATTTGTATTTTGTGGAGTAGATCTTTGTATTAGCCTTCAGTTATCTTTCCAGCTGCTGATAAAACAAAATCAGGAAGAGCCTTAGAGCTGATTTCTTCAGAATGGGATTGTGTCAAAGACTGTTCATCATGTGGTAGATAGCGGTGGTAGAATTGTGGTGGCAGTAAAACTGTGTGCATCTTTTCTGCACACAGTTATCCCACTGTGCTTAATATTAGAATAAGAGAGCCTTTGTTTAACCTAGAATGGGTTTTGCAGAAGATTCTTTCATGTGAAAGCTGCTCTTTTTCTGTAATGTTTTGAAAATTGATGTGGTAGAAAACAGAAAACAAACCTCATTATTGTGAAAACTTTTTCAAGCTATGCTAGATTTTTTTAATAAGCTTTTTCATTTTAGTTGGGATGTTTAGTTTTAGTGAACTTTATTCCATTTTTCATTCACTTCATTAAGAATGCCAGTCCTGCAACGTAAATCTTTTGTCTTTCTGCCGCTTGCAGCTAGAATTTGCAGAATTCAGTCTCGGCAGTGGATGCCCTGATCTAAAGGAAGGTTTTGTGATACTTTAGCTTGAGAATGTTTCTTAGAAATGGTGGAACGATGGAGTGACAGCCAGGTAGCTCACAAATTTCACATATTCTAGACTTAAGGAAGCAAAAATAATGACACTGGAAGGTGATGTTTGATTGTACCAGTCCACTTTATTTGATGGGCATCTGCAGCATGCTGTGTGGATGGCCTCCTTCCCCACTGCTAGACATGCTGATGACTTGCATTCAGCCTGTTGTGTAACAGCATCACATGGTGTTCTCTGCAGAGCTATCTTCTACCCCTTTGTCCTCCAGCCCATGCTAGTGTGAGGAGTTATTCTGCCACAGGTGCAAGTCTTTTTTAAGAAGTTTGCCTTTATTAAACTGGATGGGGCATCTGCCAGTTGAGGTACTTCTGGCTGGCATCCCTCCAGCATGGAAGTTGCCTCTTCATTCCCTCCAACTTGGTGTTGTCCGTGCACTTCCTGAGGGTACATTCTATCCTGTTTTCCAGGTTATCGATGAAGATACTAAATGATGTTGATTCCAGTGTTGGCCCCGACAAATGCCACTCATAGCTCGTTTGCCAGTTAAACTTCAGGCTGTTGAGCTCTCTTCTTTGAGACTGACGGTGACTTTGAGCCGCTTTTCCAGCCACCTTCTAGTCTGTTTTTTTTTTCAGTCTAGTGTAGAACAAACTGTATGTTTGTTCCAATAATAATGTGATAGGAACTAAGCAGAAACACAGTTATTTCATGCAAGTGTTAAAAACTGAGAACTAAAGCCTGAAATAGCGAGGGATCTGTATTGCTGCTTTGTTAAAAGAGTTTGTTCAGCATTTCTGAGAAACCACATCCTTTTGAAATATCTTGTGTTGGGAAGCAGAATTACTTTCAAAAAAGTAGAGAGTCGTTCTCAAGTAAATATCTCCTTCTTCCAAGGTAGTTTCATGGACTTTGTGACACAGGTTTTGGTAATTAACTGATAATTTCCAGGATTCTTGGGTCACATCAACTTGAATTTTCTGGTCTTTTTAAAGATTCATATAGTTAGAGATGGTATGCATTTTTGTAAGTGCACTGGTTTTTCATATCTTCTGCATGCAGGTTTGCATAATGCAGTCATGCATTGTCAAAACAACTCTGGTTCAAGTATTATGTTTCTGTTGTCAAAGGTATCTCCTCTTTCTGCTCTTAGGCTAGGCTAATTTGCATCCTTATTTTTATAGCTAAACGCATTTGGCATTGTTTTTTGCAACTTTATTCTCTTTTTACCTAATAACTGGAGAACGTCTCAGGTACTGTGCTTGCAATAAAGAATATTTTTAGATGAGAATTGTAGTTCTTTAGCAAAATAAATATGTAACTTTTTTTGCACACTTGGCTTTAGCATTGCAGATATTTTGTGCAGTGAAATTAGGTTCTGATGTAGCTGTCACACAGGAAAAGTAATGCTTACTGGGTTTGTACCTTGACTCACTGTTGTGCCTAGAATTGGAGGTGAAAGCCCCCAAAGTTGCACAGAACAAAGACTGATAGAGGAGGGACAACCATAATTGATATTCAATTGCATTTTTAAATGTTCTTAATTATGTAGTGGGTAACATATTTTTGAATTCCTGTCACTTTTCTATTTTCTGTTATAATTGCATATCAAACAATAATCTTTTAGTATTTTAAGTCTCTTTTGTGTATTAATTATATGCAGTAGCATCTGGTAAAACTGAATTATTTTACACTTCTTTCAACACCCTAATTTTTAGGAGTGTGACAAGAATTGACAGTGGAGACTTGTATCTTCTCTTACTGCAGGGAAATTTTTTACTAAAAAAGGATTTTTTTTTTCCCCCCCTTAGATCTTTCAAAGAACAGATTTACTGAAATTCCTCCTGATGTCTGGCTGTTTGCACCACTGGAAACTTTAAATTTGTATCACAACTGCATCAAATCCATTCCAGAATCTATTAAAAACCTGCAAATGCTTACCTACCTTAACATTAGGTGAGTAATGCTTGTTGGTTTTGGTCTTTATATAACTTACCTCATTGAAGAGGTGGCATTCTGCTTCACCAGGTCATTGAGTGCTCTCATGCCCTCATTTTTGCCCAGGTAGATACAATTGTTCTGTTGTTTGTTTGCCTTATCCTTGGTGTTTTAAGGCTAGTGGTTGTTTCTTCCTTTGTGGGAAGGAATTGACTGCATTACGAAATGGTAGCTGAGGATAAGGACAGTTTACAAAGCTTTCTTTGTTTTTAATGTTATGCAGACAGACCATGTTTAGAAACTACATGTGTAAAAATTTGCTGCTCTCAAGAGGGTAGATTACTCTGGCCAGAAGTCCCTACTCATTTTGCACATTATTTACATCCATTGCTGTTCTTAAACTTGGAAAACATGGTTGGACCTTAGAAGAACAGAAGACTAATGTGAGCTCTGGAAGGAGAGGGAATGTAGAAGAACCTTCCCATAAAGAGCCGAGACCCTGTTTTCCGCAATATTCCTCGTTTCTTACATAGACTACATCAAGTCCAAAACAGCCTTCTTAGCTAAGAGCTATTTAACATGTGAGATTTGGTTCCAGAATTTATGTTGAAAAATATTGTGAATTGATCCTTGGAAAAGGTTTTGTAGGTTTTTTTAAAAAAAAAAACCACAAACAAACCCAAACAACAAACCCCCTCCCCCAAAAAAACCACCTATGTCTTGAAATCTGCAAATGTCAGTACTTATAGTGATAATTTAAGAGTAGTCTGTTCTGTGGCAATTCTAAAGAGGATTAATGATATGATAAAGCTCAGTGTTCTGAAAGAAATTTGACTTAACTTTCTTCACAGAGCAGCAACAGCCCATTTCTCTGTTGATGGTAATTGAGGTGCCGAATACAATTCCTTACACAGAAATAAAGTAGCATGTAGTTCCAACTGGGCATCGCATGTTATTTCAAGAGTTGACTCTTCTAATCATCATTTGCTTTACTGTGTTTTGTCTTCATTTTTGTGCTAATGTCTGAGGACTGTTTTCACAATGCATGAACACGTGGACTACAGTAGTTGAAGAACTGGCTAAAATCCTGGCTTACTAGTTTCAATATTTTGTTACAGAAGAAAACCACACAATCTCAAATTCTATGTTTGGATTTGGATGACTGAAAAAATGTATTCTGCAATTCATAGTAAAGTAGGCAGTTCTTTTTAAAACAAACAAACCCGCCCCAAAAACAGAGGAAATTTAAGTGATGCAGAGAACAACTGTTTCATTGCCACATTTTTATAATCAATTAAAAGTAGTTTATTTGCACATTATATTTTTGCTTCTCATGCTCTCCAACCAAAAAAGCCTGTCATACCTGCCTGAAATACAACATAAAAAAAAAAGAGACTGACTGCATACATACATCCTGGTGGATGAAGGAAAGGCTGTGGACGTCATTTACCTGGACTTTAGCACAGCCTTTGACACAGTCTCCCATAGCATTCCCCTAAGGAAGCTGGCAGCTCATCGCTTGGACGGGTGTACTCTTTGCTGCATAAAAAACTGGTTGGGTGGCCAAACCCAGACAGTTGTGGTGAATGGAGTTAAATCCAGTTGGCAACCGGTGTACCCCAGGGCTGTGTTTTGGGGCCAGTCTTATTTAATATCTTTATCAATGATTCTAGATGAGGGGATTGAGTGCACCCTCAGTAAGTTTGCAGATGACACCAAACTGGGTGGGAGTGTCGATCTGCTGGAGGGTGGGAAGGCCCTGCAGAGGGACATGGACAGGCTGGCCCAATGGGCTGAGGCCAACTGTATGAGGCTCAACAAGGCCAAGTGCCGGGTCCTGCACTTGGGTAACAACAACCCCATGCAGCGCTACAGGCTTGGGGAAGAGTGGCTGGAAAGCTCCCTGGCTGAAAAGGACCTGGGGGTGCTGGTTGACAGTCGGCTGAACGTGAGCCAGCAGTGTGCCCAGGTGGCCAAGAAGGCCAACAGCATCCTGGCTTATATCAGGAATAGTGTGGCCAGCAGGAGCAGGGAGGTGATTGTCCCCCTGTACCTGGTACTGGTGAGGCTGCATCTGGAATAATGTGTCCAGTTTTGGGCCCCTCACTACAAGAAAGACATTGAGGGGCTGGAGCATTTTTAG